TTCCGTCCTCTTTGTTGCTATTACATTGATGGTACAAGTCAAAATAGGGAATTGCACGCGATATAATTCTTGTGACTGATTGTTATTAAATGAAATCAGATCATCCATAAACCTACGTTACAAACACACCGAAACAGGATAGGAATCTATTCCTTACACTTACACTTCGCGACAACACTTTGAATAGTAGGTAATGTTACGTATGGATTCCCAAATTGAAACAATATGTTAACCCAGAAATCTGTACGTAAAAGAACTTGTGTGAAACCAACAAACAACCAAAAGTGGTATAAAATCAACAAATGTCCTCTAATATGCACTAAGTTTACAAATCGATACAAATTACTACACCTCAATTACAATGGCAGTAAACAATCAAGTTGTAGTACAATATTTAATGATGGCAATGGTCAGTATCAAATACAAAAAATACAACGGGGAAAGTAAAAGTCAGTGATAATAATATATACTCTTCGAAAAAACAAACTTGACACTGACTTTCAATATGTAATATAATGCGATTGTTTCAAAATAGGACACAGAAACCATAATTGAAACTCTGTTTGAAGGTCAATGTACGCAATGTTCGAAAAATTAATCGTGTCCCGTAGACAGACACACGTACACGATACAATTAATGTAACAGGGGTACAGAAAATGTCTGTAGCGGTTGTGCCCACCACGTGCATCAATCACCGCTTGACACCGACGACCCATAGATGCAATCAAGTTGTCAATAACACGCTGTTGGATATGCTGCCATTGATGCTGAAGTGCATCAAGAAGCGCCGGAAGTGTTTGGGGCGGTGGATTCCTTCTGCGAACGCGTCGGTCCAACTCGTCCCACAGATGCTCAATCGGGGACAAATATGGTGACCGGGCTGGCCAAGGTAATGTCTGGATGTTGTTGTGCTGTAAGAAGTCCTGATAAACACGTGTAATATGCGGTCGAGCGTTGTCCTGCTGGAACAGTCCGCCATGAACGTTGACGTGAGGAAGAACGTAAGGCTGTAGTATCAAGTCTCTGTAACGCACACCTGCCAATGCACCTGCCACATGCACGAGAGGCGTCCTACCACCGTGATGAATTCCGGCCCATACCATGACACTCCCACCGCCAAATGGGACAACCTGCTGCACACAGTTGGGGGCGTAACGTTCACCCTGACGTCTGTACACACGTGCGCGCCCATGAGCACGTGTGAGTAGGAAACGGGACTCGTCAGTAAACAGTAAATTACCCCACCTTGCACGTGCCTATCGAACCCTCTGTTGACACCAAAGCAGACGGTCCGCCAGATGACGTGGGGTCAATACATGACGTCGAACAGGTCTTCGTGCAAAAAGTCCAGCCTCCCTCAGTCTGTTGCGTACCGTTTGATCTGATATTCTGCGTACCCCAGGGATCTGTGTGGTTGTAGACGTGGCTGTGGTAGTGCGGTCTCGGAGGTGTCGCAGCCGGATGTATCGATCTTGTGCTTGGGTTGTCACCCTTGGTCTTCCTGACCTTGGTCTGTCGTCAACTCTGTTGGTGTTGTTGTATCGGGTCCACAGTGCGGAGATTGTCAGTCTGGATACGCCAAAGTGCCTGGCCACTTCTTGCTGAGTTGCTCCAGCTTGTAATCCCCCAATGACATTGTTCCCGCTGCATTCAATCTTGGCATTCTGTCACCGCTTCTACTGCCGTTATAAGGACTGTATGAACAGCCGTTGATGTGGATTGTTATACCCATTCAGCAGGAGGCACGTTTTTTACAGGTGGTTGCATTTGGATGGAGCTGTAAAATTGATCTCAAAAAGCTACGTTTATGTGTTTTGCATGTGTTTTCCCGAATTGTGGAAACATCATCTTTCTGTTTGACTTATTCGGTTTTCATTTAATGTAATTATTTTAGATATTTGGCAAAGAGTGGTTTTACATCTATGTCAAGTTTCTTTTTTAAAGAGGATTTATTCACCCAGGGGCGACAGTCGTCAGGCTAGCGAGATGAGCTAGGCAGGGAATCAGAAATGATGAGCGATCCTCAAATCAAAGCTGGTTCCAGTGTGATTAAAATGCGTGAAAGAAATGTGACCACGCTATTGTCCCCTTAAATACAACCTACCCGGTCACTGGAAAGTTCCATACATAGCCCTCACCAGTCTATTGGCACGAGAAATAAAGAAGATTCCATAACAGACTATCTTCCGCGGTATTCTGGACCGGAAGGTTAGACATCACATTAGCATCTAAATGTAGTAACTTCCTGACGACTGACCACTTACCAAACACAATGCTATATACGTCTACCGAATACCAACAGAAACAATGTAACACAGTTACAATCACTGTTAAACAATGAAATACACTGACGTATAACAGTAGGCAGGTATAAACCAAACAAATTTGAGTGAAACAACTAAAATATAAAATAAACCAAATGCACCCAATGGAAGTGACGTCACAGACCATACTAACAATCGTGTGTCGGTGTGTATATAGAGGTTAACACACGAGTGTGTTTGGGGATGGTAAATATCCTGTATTAGGAATAAACATTGCATTTAGCGAGCATTGACTCCCGTACTTTGTGTTTATTTATCCCCAAACACACAAGCGTGATAACCTCTTAATCATATAATGTCATTCCTCAACTCTTTGATCGAAAATCGCTTTCCATCTCCAACAAACATTACCTAAACATTGCAAGTTTTCCTGGAATGTGCGCATTAAATATATACCACGTCAAAGGGTAAGTGATGTGCCAGTCGGACAATGACAGTAGCCAATATAGTTCCAACTGAAACATGTTCCTTATACAGTGGCGAAACAACATTTACGCAAAACAACAATTGCCTACACAAATTGTATATACTTGCCTTTCGCGGCAATCCATCGGCCTGTCCGCTAGACTAACTGCCCTTTGTCGAAGAGAAGCTATTCTAACCCTAGTCTATGAGACATAGACAATACTCTCCATTTTTCCGTCACATATCTGACTAACCACAAACAAGTTTATGCCAAATATGCAATTTTTTACTGTTATAAAAGTTAGAAACATGTCTTGTAAGGTTGGGCAGACTGCACCTGTTTCCTATCTTCCCTGTTTGAGGTTAAGAAAATAGCATTACGAAGGATTATTTTCAAATTTTATTGACACCCTGAGCAAAGAATGGGCATTATGTTAATATAGAACAATTGCCGATACACTAGAAACTTTTGCTAATCTGATAGTGACACGACAAGGTGTGTTTTAATAAGGAGTAGCATACATAGAATTATGAACTTCCTTAAGTTGATTTCCAGCTGACATTTATTAAACATTTACTCAATATTATTAAAGTAACTTAGGTTAAAGACTTAATATTGTATTGTTTCCCTTTGATATAGTTTCAATGGAAGGTGAATATATTTAGACAAAACCTTATGACAAAATATCTAAACATGTCAAAAGTATAAAAGAATGAGTCTTTGAAATGCTTCACGGTTAGGCTATGGACTAGCAGCTCATCACATTCAGACCACAAGATCACAGGGATGGGATGACTGTATACGTGTATGTGTGAAACATCTCACCATGTACGAAATTATTTGTCTTCACTGAAAATAATTCAGTAGTAAGTGTGTGTCTGACTCTGACCCAATAATGCAATATACAGCTGGACATAACAATATCATTATGAACAACGATTGTTTTCAATGTTGTACAGACGGGTTTGCAAATTTAGGAAATTCGAGTTTTGAAAATTAAGCAGATACGATGGCGATGTGACACTCGTCATCTGAAGGGAAGGTGGCATAATCTGGTAAAATGTTCAACGTTCTATTTGTAACTACCATTTCAATGTAATTAAATCTGATGATATATTTTACAAGGACGATCACTAAATATGAACTCGTCCTGTTTCCAGTAAAGGAAAACGAAAGCAAAACCTTTGATCTGAGCAGTTAATCCGTGTGTAGCAGATGATTGACGCATATCAAGAGAAAGAGCATTGGTTTAATTGGATAACATATAATTTGAAAGCATGTTCCTTTTAGTTGTATTACAGACCTCAGATGAAACTTGATAACGCAAGCGAACATTAACTTTCAAGTATCGTATCACATTTATGACTTAGAGACTGATGATATTGTACTCACTTAACTGGATGTTTTAGTATGATTCATATACTTTTCAGGAAGGAAATGTGGCCGCTTGGGATCTTAGTGAATACGTGTCTCCTTATCCCGACACAAGGTAAGCAGATGAGTTATCTATATACATTGTGCTGGATAAGGTAGGACATCGTCATGGGGTCACTAACACTTGTCGGCCGTGCTTCGAGAATGTTGTTGTTGTTGTTGCTGTTATTATTATTATCATTATTATTATTATTATTTTAATTTTTTGTATTATTATAAATTAGTTGTTCAATAATGGTGACAAAACCAATGCACTTGACTTGTAGCGAGTGACACTATGTAGACATATCATGTGCGTGGCTTTAGCTATGCCATTCTTTGTATCTATAGATTTATTTGCATTCCATATGGGTAAAATTCATAACAATAGAAACTTATCAAATGTACGCCTCTGTTGTTATATCACTCAATAGTAATCATTACCTTGCTTAATAGATCGATGACATTACTACCACTGCAAGGTTGTAGACTGGATACCACATCACCATGTCATGGAACTTCTTTTCTCAAAACTGACCAAATACCCTTTACGTTTATGAGGTTTATCTGACTGTCATACGAGCCCACACAGCTTCCATTGTAATGAGATTTTTGACAACACTAATCCAATTTACTGATTGATCATTTACTGTAAAAATCATTTACAATATATATTATTTTTATTCATTCTCAGGTAGTAAATGTTCCGATAACCAGCAATGCTCCGAGTGTGAGGAGCAGACGGGTCGATGCAGCACACACTGCTATAGAGGATATTTCGGCCCGATGTGCATGGATGTTTGCAGCAGAAGGTGCAGGTACCACACATGTAAGCTGATCCTCGGCAAAGGTATTGAGACATGTACTGATGGCTGCATACCAGGATTTCAAGGCCCAAACTGCCAGAGGCCATGTTACAGTACCAAGGAAGACTGTACCAGATGCCCAGGTGGATGTCATGGGGAGTATTGCCAGATGGGTCGAACTTGTTTCTCTGGTTGCAGCGACTCATACTATGGAGCAGGATGTAGCACGTGTTCCAGCAGATGTAAGTCCTGCAACAGGATCACAGGAACATGTGAGGAGTGTCAGCCTCCATATTCTGGACTGGACTGTAGATCCTCGTGTGAGCACTGTGTCGGTGGATGTGAGAGTGGCTGCCAACAGGGATGCAGACAAGGATTCTATGGAGACAACTGTAATGAAGCATGCAGTGACACCTGCCGAGCTGATCCCTCCCTGTCTACTGATGAACGATGTCCTGAGGGAGACTCATGTACCCCTGAGTGCCACAGCCAGACTGGCGAGTGTGTTCACGGTTGTGTAGATGGCTGGTACGGCCCGAAGTGTTCAAGGCGATGCAACTCTAACTGCAAACATCAAAGGTGTAACCCCGCAGGTGTTTGTGTTGAGGGATGTGCACAGGGACATTTTAGGTCTGATTGTGAGCCATGCCTGGAGCAATGCCTCAATATTAAATGTGCACTAAGCAACGGATCGTGTTGCAACGGTTGCAGAAATGGTTTATCTGGAGGTAAATGTAACCTATCTTGTAGTGTATGTCCGGATAGTATAGACACGAACTCGAGTTTATGTACACCTGAATACAATATGTGTATGTACAACTGCACAAACAATGCCTCGTTATCTGATTGCTCTACCGGATCCTGTGACACAGGTAAGCTATGTTGAATGGTTTCAGACACTGCCATGTAATTGTTCTGGCACTGCTTTAAGAAACAAAATTCTGTTGAATTTCCTTGATTTCACTACACCTATTTTCACGACATCAAGCATAACCAGTGAACAATTTCTGTTGTGTATATAAAATCCCCCCTTGTCGTATAACGAATCTATCAAATCATATCATTCCGAAAGTTTTAAATGTTTTTCATAACACCCGCGATTGTTTCTGAAATGATGACATATTCATACTTTTGTGAAAATACTGAGAAAGTCGCCGTTATGTTGGGTTTGTAACATCTGCTGAGGTACACAGTGTTCGTCATCTTTGAGAAATGCAGTCAGTTTATTCAAGATTGTACTCCAATGCAGGCTGTAGGATGTAATGATATAAAAAGACATACAGAATTGACACTGTAAACAAAAGTATCATACTAGCATGATCTGTTTATTTCATATTACTTTCAGTTTCTTTTCCAATCAACACAGAGACTGTGAAGTACCTGGTGGTGTTTGTCATCTGCATCCTGGCAGCAAGTACAGATGGCTACTGCTGTTCCGCAGAGGTCTCTCAACCAAAATGTACGTACTGAGCAGATAGTACACATTGATATCGTTCTATCCTATGTAAGTAGGGATAATACTTTGTCATATTCTAGTACTAGTTTCACTACATGAAATCACATGCGCTGTTTTAAATGTTGTTTTCATGTTCTGTTTTTGTGTCTATCCTATCACTATCACCACCACTAATTACGCCACAATTAAGCAAATGTAAGGTCGAATTGTTTTCATGAAATCATTTTAGGTTGCTCATGTTCAGGCTTTGTCCGTTTTAGAGAGAATGCAGGTTCAGAAGTCGGAGCAGATGGTCACTGTCAACATAACCTACAGGAGATAGAAGGGGACCAGTCCGAAGACAATGACACGGGTCCAGTCATTGTGTATCTTTAATCCAACATGTAACGCTTTATTCAGATAGCAATAAAAAGTAATCTTCATTTCTTTTATCAGACATTTCGTTAATGGTACCATGCATTAGAATGTGAAATAAGTTCTATTCGTCCAAGAACTAATTTCGTACCATGAGGAAATATCAAAGAGTGAACGAGTATGGTTTAAGCCGCTTTGAGCAAGGCTTAAGTAGAGGAGGGGACACAATATATGGGTTTCACACATTTTACCAATTTTAGAATCGAACACGGATCTTCTGTATGACGAACGAACGTTGGGAATCACTAGGCTATCCCAATGCTCTACAACAATAGAACACGTATACATACAGATAATACAACAGCATAAAACTGTTTCAAATAAATAAATTCTGTGAAATCGTCAAATTTTGCAATGCTATTTTCAGCCATGATATTTTGATGGGAGAAAATGAATTCTTTGTTCCATGAAGAAAAACACTATCTTATTTATTTTACCTTGACCTTGAGTAAAAGTACAGTGTAATGATCGATAAAATGCTATCTATGAAAATTGGTTTTCATGTTCAATGGAAAAGTGGACAATTAGGAGATAAATCAACTGTAAGGAAGAAAATATATGGATGTCAACTTCTTTATTATGAGGAACTAAACGTTTCGGAGTATATGCTTACTCCTTCATCAGGTGAATGAATCCCATGAGACAGAGAGCATATACATGTACATGTAAGGACAACAAAATTAAAAAGTCATTTTCCGAAATCGAAAATTCAATTTCTCATTGTAGGGGTGACAGGTTGCAGAAGAAGTTTAAAGATGCTAAATGAATCTGTTTCTCCAACAAACTTTACTTATTAACATTTTACTGTTTATTTACATGTGTAAGTCTTATTAGTTAACAATTACCCCCAAACACTTGGATGTGACAGTAGCCCTCAACATGTGCATGAAAGATATGTGTGTGTCGTCAGTGTGAACGTTTCGGGAAGTGGAGTGTGACTGAAGGAGTAGTCTCCCTTGTACTGTGCTTGTCCTGACAGTGAGCTGCTTCCACCTCACTGCTGTGTTGATGTTGATATGATAGGTGAAGTCTGCACCCGGCTGTGTGCAATGAGCCTGTGTAGTGTATCTAAATCTTACGGAGTCGCCTCCCTTGTACCGTGTACATTTATAGCATACGACTAGGACAGTGTTGCTATGACTACGATCACTGGCGCAACCCGCACCCGGCATGTGTGTTGCCAACGCGATATTAGAGGTACAGTGCATCTGATCCTGACGGTGTTGTCTCCCTTATGTCGGTCAGCGTGTATGCATATACTGCTTAATCATATAATGGGTAGGTTTCTCGACAGGATGAAGCCAACGGATAAAAACGATATCCGTTAGGGTGATATGCGGATAGAGATGCAAATATCAAAGGTCAAGTAGGGACTACTTTCACTGTTTATAAACAAACATGGCGTCGCCCTCGTCATTCGGCGATCGAGTCACACTCCGTCGCAGTGGTGACTCAGCATAACACCACTGCCACAGGCTAATTTGCATATCACGTGACCGGACTTTTCTCTTGTTTGTAAACAAACGCGCTTTTTCAGAAATCAGTAAAGAACGGACTAATGCAAGTATTTGGGGGCGCTTTACATATTGTTTTGCATAACTATATAGATATGCTACTACAACTGCGACAGTGAGTTGCATGACAATATATATTTATGCATCAAAGTGATCGTGTCGCTAGCTCTCCGTTGGGCTTCGATGACAGCACGTGGAGCCGTACAACCAATGTAAACATAGGATAACTACGCAAAAACAAGTAGATTTTTACGTATTTGCATACTTTCTCAATGAAAGTTAACCATTCTTTGACATTTGTTTATGAAAATGTGTAGACTTGTCAAACATGAAACGGATGAAAAGCAGATGCAATATCTTGAATGGACTGTGAAAGATGTGACGAATCATCACATGGCGCTGGCCTGTGGCAGAGGTACTATGCTAGCTGGCTGCCGGCCGCATGGAACTCTGGGTAGGAGAGTGTGATCGAGTCAGAATTAACCATCGGGAATCTTGATAAACTACAGGGATAATTGCTATCATTATCAAAAGAACAGTCTAATATACTGAAAATCAGTGTCTAACTGTGACGTAGAAAAGGCATTTTATAAGTTTTGGCAACTTTTGAGATATAAATTTCGAAACAATTTTGCGAGGGCACGAGGCCTAGCCAAGCGGGATCAGTAGCCATTAGCTGTGCTTGTAAACCTCTGCGGCTTGAAACCTTCTCCACAAATTAAAATAGTTGGATTTAGCCGAAATGTATTTGAATTGTTACCTCCTTTCGTTTTGTCGCTGTGTGTACATCTGACTACACTTCTTAACGTTATGACAGGACAGACCGACTGTCAACAACGTCTGACCGTGGCCGTGACGTCTCATAGACTAGGGTTAGAGTAGTTTTCCTTTGACAAAGGGCAGTTACTCTTGCGGACAGACCGATGGATTGCCGCGAAAGGTTATTAAAAACAATTTTTGTTTTGCGTTTATGTTGCTTCGCCACTGTATAAGAAACAGATTTCAGTTGGAACTATATTGGCTACTGTCATTGTCCGACTGACACATCACTTACCCTCTGACGTAATAAATATTAATGCGCGCACTCCAGGAAAACTCGCAATGTTTCGTTAATGTTTGTGAGAGAGGCAAAGCGATTTTGAAGTACGGAATTAAAGAATGACATTATATGATAAAGAGGTTATCACGCTTGTGTGTTTGGGGATGGTAAAAATCCTGCATTAGGAATAAACATTGCATTTAGCGAGCCTTGGCGAGCTAAATACATAGTGTTTATTCCTAATCCCCAAACACACTCGCGTGATAACCTCTATTTAACAGTGTTGATATGACTAACGATCACTGGTGTATCCCGCAGCCGGTGTCCCGGTATAAACTCTCCCCCGTACAAATTCTCCCCCCGGAGATTTTATACCGGTACAGATTCTCCCCCGGAGAATCTGTTCTGAAATAAAATCTCCCCCGGGCGGATATATTTCGCGCCCCCCTCAGTATAAAGTCTCCCCCCTGATTATTCGGTTTGTTGCAATGTCTTTAAGTACTATATTCTTTTAATAGATATCTTTAATGTAAGGAGGGTTGTTTTATAAAATAGATTATGAAATATGGTCATAATGAATTGATATTTCAGCATATTTTATTTGGTAACTGTACCTTCCATCCTAAAATAATTATAAGACATATATCATACCAAACAAATTTGAATGAAATGACTTAATGTAACAAATACATGTACGGTTACTGTTGTAACTGAATTCAGAAATCTTATTAATCCTCGCAAACATTCGGTTTTAACACTAACTACTTAAAAACTGTCAACATATTCACGCGCGCCTCCAGCTCAGGCTGTCCGTTATACTCTGATTTAAGATCTAAAATATATTCCTTAATACAGGCTACGATTTGAAAATGGCATCAGTGGCTAGAATACCATGGTGCAACCAGGTTTCTGTTAAACACCCCCACACATACAAGTAACTAAATGTATATTAGATAAATATATAACCCAGAAAAAATAAAGGAGAGAAAAAATAAATAAAAAAGTACATAAACAAATAAACATTAAAACCTTGAGGAATATAAAAAGCCAATGTGTAATGCTAAAGCACGAAGACACGATAAACTGTACCAACATTACAATGTTCCTCGATATGCATGCTTTACCTGGGTAACATACCGGTGATCTAAGTTAGAAATATATGACTGATATAAACTCTTTAAAACACGGTAATATCGCATATGCTTGGATTATCTTTTTTTTCAAATGTGCTCCATTCAAGAAAATTATATAGAATTATGTATTTACTCTTCCCCATGTATTTTGCTCTTTTATGTAAAAGCTTTTTACACCTTACACATTTTAATTACAGATTCCTTTGTTTTGAGTTTAATGCAAACAAACCAGGCTTTTCAATGTATTTTGTTTCAACAGATTTTATACATAAATATATGAATGGGGATTGACAAACAAGCTTTACTGGCTTATGTAAAAGCCGCCGCCCTTTAGGCTGAGTTTCCATGTGCGCGGTTTGCCACGCGGTTTGGGGCACGTTTGGGGATGCGGTTGAAATGCTATATACAAAAACTATGCTTAAAGGTTCGGCGACTTAGTTTCCATTGTGCGCGGTTTGGCGCGGTTTCACCAACTGCAAACCGCTAGGGGCTAGCGGTTGGTAAAACCGCGCAAATCGAAACAGTTCATTTATGATGTAGTATTTCCATTGGCGCGGTTAGGACCGCTCCGCTAAAAAAAGTCGAACAGTGCTCGATTATATTGAACCGCATGGTTAGCCCAGCGGTTCTACCCGAGCCAATGGTAATTTTACAGAATAAGGCCTAATTTCCTTTGAAAAAAAAATTGCATAGCGGTTTGACTAATCAGCATTGATTTTTACTCTATAAACTGTCATAAAGTATTCATAAAGTATCAGGGGTCATTTCAACTTGCAAAATGATTGACATAGTCCTTTATAGAGCGAGGATTGGGCTGTTTTCTCACCCGATTGACTGACATACAACATTCACATGGTTTAGAATGGTACAATGAATGGTAAAGCATGCAAAGTACACTAATACGCGATATTTCATAAGAAACATAAAATCAATATTTACGAGTCCACATATTGATATAAGACTTTATCACTGTATTCAATTCCAAAAATTTTAGATTATCTTTCGGACAGTTCAGTCCAAAATTCTTCAACCATTAATACATCACAGGATTTGTAGCTAGAAGACGGGAATCTACAAACAGCTGAACACATTCTTACCACATACATTTCCTTATCTATTATTTAGGTCTATCACAAA